TCCCAGGGACAAGTGTTGGAGTGGGGTCATGTGTAGAGCAGGCAGGATATAAGTTTCACTCTGTGGAGCATTAGTGAACTTTTTACAGTTTTACAATAATCTCTTCCTTCTTATTCACTCGTGGAAAGTGGGTGTTGCTGGCTGGGTCAGTGTTTGTTGCCCGTCCCTAGTTGCCCCCTTGAGAAGGTAGGGGTGAGCTGCCTTCTTGAACCACTGCAGTCCATGTGCTGTAGGTTGACCTACAATGCCCTTAGGGAAGGAATTCCAAGATTTTGACTCAACGACACTGAAGGATCAGCAACATATTTCCAAGTCAGGATGGTGAGTGGCTTGGAAGGGAATTTGTAGGTGGTGGTGTTCCCACGTATCTACTACCCCTGTCCTTCTGGATAGAAGTGGTCATGCTGCCTTGGTGAATTTCTGCAGTGCTTCTTGTAGATGGTACACAGTGCTGCTACTCGGTAGTGGAGGGAGTGAAGCGGGCTGCTTTGTCCTGGATGGTGTCAAGCTTCTTATGTGTTGTTGGAGCTGCCCCGATCCAAGCAAGTGGGGAGTGTTCCATCACACTCCTGACTTGTGGTGGACAGGCTTTGGAGAGTCAGGAGGTGAGTTACTCGCCACAGTGTTCCTAGCCTTTAACCTGCTCTTGTAGCCAATGTGTTTATATGATCACAGCTTCACAAAATCACAGGTAATTTCAGAAAAAATAAAACTAAATACTGCAAATGCTTGAGATCGGGAAAAAAGACAGAGAATGTTGGAAAAACTCGTCAAGAGTGGTTACTTCAGATACTACCATATCTGCTGAATTTCTTCAATTTCAGAAGAAATACGGGGGGAACCTGGACTTCATGAATAGAGAATTAGAAAGCAAAAGGAATGGTGTTGTGGTAAACCTTCATAAAACGTTGGTTCATTCTCAACTGAAGTATCCTGTCCAAGAATGTCAAGGAGAGGGTGTGGAGGAGATTAGAAGAAATTAACATAAACAGAGGAGGTACCAGTGGTTTAGCAGATTAGAAAGTGATAAATCCACAGGCCTTGGATGAGGTATGTCCCAACAGTTGAGAGCGGCAAAGCAAGAGACATTGGGGGCCTTTGGCAGTAATTTTCAAATCCTCCCTGGCCACAGGTGAAGGGCTGGAAGACTGCAAACATTATCCCATTATTAAGAAAGGATAGGTCAGTAAATTACAAATCACTCAGTGGGGAAGTAATTAGAAATAATTCTCAGTGTCAGAATACATCTACACAGGTTATTCAGGGATAGTCAGCATGAATTTGTTAAGGGAAGGTCATTTTTGATAAACTTGATTGCATTTTTGAGGAGGTAAACAGGATGAAGGGAATGGATTTGATGTGGTTTACGTGGACTTTCACAAGGCTTTTGCTATTATTCCTTATAGCAATCTGGTCAAGAGGGTGAGATCCCATAGGATCCAAGGCAAAGGGGCATGTTGGATCCAAAATTGGCTGAGAATCAGGAGGCAGAGGGTGATGTTAAGGATAAACAAGTTATGCTGCAGCTTTGTAGAACTTTAGTTAGGTCACACTTGGACAGTTCTGGTCACCACACTACCAGAATGATGCTTTGGATAGAGCGTAGAAAATCCCAATAGTGTGGAAACAGGCCTTCAGCCCAACATGTCCACACCAGCCCTCAGGGCATCCCACCCAGACCCATCTCCCTATAACCCACACATCTCTGAACATTACGGGCAATTTAATGGGCAGGCAATGGCCTTGTGGTATTATTGTTTAGGGGCGGCACGGTGGCTCAGTGGTTAGCACTGCTGCCTCACAGCCCCAGGGACCTGGGTTCGATTCCAACCTCGGGTGACTGTCTGTGTGGAGTTTGCACATTCTCCCATGGGTTTCCTCCCACAGTCCAAAGATGTGCAGGTTAGGTGGATTGGCCATGCTAAATTGCCCATAGTGTTCAGGGATGTGTAGATTAGGTGGGATATAGGGGGATGGGTCCAGGTGGGATGCTCCAATGGTCGGTGTGGACTTGTTGGGCCAAAGGGCCTGTTTCCACACTGTAGGGATTCTAAGAATCTAAGAATTTAGCATGGCCAATTCACCTAGCCTGCACATCTTTGGACTGTGGGAGGAAACCGAAACACCCGGAGGAAACCCACACAGACGCGGGGAGAATGTGCAGACTCCACACAGACAGTCACCCGAGGGTGGAATTGAACCTAGGTCCCTGGCGCTGTGACGCAGCAGTGCTAACCACTGAGCCACCATGTTGCCCAATAGGGTGTAACAGGATGTTGCCTGGTACGGGGGATTTTAGCTATGAAGAAAGGTTGGACAGACTGGGTTTGTTTTCACTGGAATGCAGGAGGTTGAGCACTGACCTGGGGTGAGGGGTCAATTACTCGGGGACACAGGTTCAAGCTGTGAGGAGAGAAGTTTAAAAGAGATGTATGAGGCAAGTTTTTCACACAAAGGGTGATGAGTGTCTGCAACGTGCTGCCAGAGGAAGTGGTGGAAGCAGACACAATAGCGGCATTCAAGAAATACCTGGACGAATACATGAATAGGAAGGGAATAGAGGGATACGGATCCCGTAAGTGAAGACAGTTTTAGTATGGAAGTGCAAAATGTGTCGGTACAGGCTTGTAGGGCCGAAGGGCCTGTTCCTGTGCTGTATTATTCTTTATTCTGTCTGTTCTCTGTTTCTGTGATTGGAAGTCTGTTTCCAATGGAGTTTCACAGGACTCAGTTCTGGTGTAAGTGAATGATTTGGACTTGCATGTAGGAGGTGTTATTGTGTGTAAATTACCACAAGCTACCTTTAATTCGGCTGCTTAGTAAGAAACCTCACAGATTATCAAGTACTGAAACAATGATTTAAACTTAATTGCATGTAGCAACTGAAATAAGACCCCTCAAGTAAGCAAGCTAAGCCTCACAAATCACCTTGACTATTACTCAATGGTGGAATTCCAACCGTCAGCATTTATCTCTGATTTGTCCAGGGTTCGATCCTTGTGCAGTGTGGTTCCTCCAAGTTCTGCTACTGAAGAATCCTGGAGTTTAATTCTTGTACAACTTTCCCTCCTTCAGGTTTATGGTGTGACATTATTGATGACACTCCTGAAGCCACCAAGTCTGTAGCTTATCTGTTCCTTATTACATTGGCTATTGTCTGTCTGTTTGAAGACATAACTTGCCTGTGATTAACTCCTTAAGTTCTTCTGCAGGGCAATCATTTGGCCTTATAGCATGAGGCAGCAATTATCAAGCAGTTGTTAAACAGTTGTGTTTATGTTGCTTTGACTGCTTTTTCCAGGTATGGCAAGTTGCTTACAATCCCCGTATAACAATTAGACTTTCTCCCTGAACAGTTTACTCCAGACAGACTTATTGCTGATTCTTTCCATCCATGAACAGTTATTGAAGTTTAACTTTTCACCATCACAGTGTGACTAACACAGGAAAATTGGTAGGATGTTAATTCGTGAGGAGCATCGTCATTAACTGTGGGAGAATATGAAGGGACTGGTCAGGTGGACAGAGCATTAGCAAATAGAATTAAACCCGGGAAGTATGAAGTAATGTACTTGGGCAGGAAAACAAGGCAAGGGATGAAATGGCAGGACCCTGTGAAGTCAGAGCGACCTTGGGTGGGTATTTTTTTTTATTCTTCTTCTGGAAATCTAGAGTAGAGGGAATGGAAGCTAGGGCAGTTGCATGCTCCTCTTGCAGGATGTGGGAGGTAAGGGTCACTGCTGGTGTCCCCTCTGACTTCATCTGTGAGAAGTGCACCCAACTCCAGCTCCTCAAAAACCGCATTAAGGAACTGGAGCTGGAGCTGGATGAACTCCGGATCATTCGGGAGGCTGAAGGGGTGATACAGAGGATTTACAGGGAGGTGGTCACACCCAAGGTACAGGAAAAAGGTAGCTGGGTGACTGTCAGGAAGGGGAAAGGAAATAGGCAAACAGTGCAGGGATCCCCTGTGGCCATTCCCCTCAATAATAAGTATACCATTTTAGATACTGTTGGGGGGGACGACCTACCAGGGGAAGGCTAATGGACAGGTCTCTGGCGCTGAGCCTGACCCTGTGGCAAAGAAGGGAAGGGGGGAGAATAGGAGAGCAATTGTAGTGGGGGATTCGATAGTAAGAGGCACAGACAGGCGGTTCTGTGGACCCGAACGAGATGAAAGGATGTTATGTTGCCTCCCGGGTGCCAGGGTCCGTGATGTCTCGGATCGTGTCTTCAAGATCCTTAAGGGGGAGGGTGAGCAACCAGCAGTCATGGTACACATCAGTACCAATGACATAGGTAGAAAAAGGACTGAGAATGTGAAAAACAAGTACAGGGAGTTAGGTTGGAAGCTGAAGTCCAGGACAAACAGGGTAGTTATCTCTGGATTACTACCAGTGCCACGTGATAACGAGGTAAGAAATAGGGAGAGAGTGCAGCTAAACACATGGCTACAGGGCTGGTGTAGGAGGGAGGGCTTCCATTATGTGGATAATTGGAGCACATTCTGGGGAAGGTGGGACCTGTACAGTAAGGACGGGTTGCACCTGAACCGGAAGGGCACAAATATCCTGGGAGGGAGGTTTGCTAGAGCTGAACGGGATGGTTTAAACTAGTTTGGCAGTGGGTGGGGAACCGGATTTGTAATTCAGAGGATAAGGTATTCAGCCTTCCAACAGACACAACAGAGAGTGAGGTTGTTAATAAAGAAATACGGTCGATGGAGCGTAATTGCGGACACCAAGATGGTTTGATGTGTGTATACTTCAATACTAGAAGTATCAGAAATAAAGCGGATGAACTTAGAGCATGGGTCGGTACTTGGAACTACGATGTTGTGGCCATTACAGAAACTTGGGTAACTCGGGGAGAGGAATGGTTGTTGGAAGTTCCAGGATTTAGATGCTTTAAAAGAAATAGGGAGGGTGGAAAAAGAGGTGGGGGAGTGGCATTGCTAGTCAGGGCGAGTATAGCAGTGACTGAAAGGCAGTTCAAGAATGATATGTCGACAGAGTCAGTTTGGCTTGAGGTCAGGAACAAGAAAGGAGCAGTCACTTTGTTAGGGGTTTTTTACAGTTGCAGAGAAGTGGAGGAGCGGATTAGGAGGCAGATACTGGAAAGGTGCAGAAGTCACAGGGTTGTAGTCATGGGTGACTTCAACTTCCCAAATATTGATTGGAAACATTTTAGTTGTAATAGTTTAGATGGAGCAGATTTTGTCCAGTGCGTTCAGGAAGGATTCCTGACACAGTATGTAGGTAAACCAACACGTGGAGAGGCCACTTTGGATTTGGTGCTTGGCAATGAACCGGGCCAAGTATTGCACCTGTTGGTAGGAGAGCATTTTGGCGGTAGCGATCATAACTCTGTTTCTTTCACGATAGTCATGGCTAAGGATAGGTACATACAGCAGGGTAAAGTTTATAATTGGGGGAAGGGTAATTACAATTCAGTTAGGCCAGAACTGGGTAACATAAATTGGGAACAGATGCTGTCAGGGAAGAGCACCACAGAAATGTGGAGATTGTTTAAGGAATGCATACTGCATGTGCTCGATATGTTTGTCCCTAGCAGGCAGAGAAGATGCGGTCGAGTGAGGGAGCCATGGTTCTCGAGAGAGGTCGAACGACTGGTTAAGAGGAAGAAGGAGGCTTATGTAAGGTTTAGGAAAAGAGGAATGGAAAAGGCTGTAGAGGGATACAAGTTAGCCAGGAAGGAGCTGAAGAAAGGGCTTAGGAGAGCTATAAGGGGGCATGAGAAAACCTTGGCGGATAGGATCAAGGAAAACTCCAAGGCGTTTTACACGTATGTGCAGAACAAAAGAATAACCAGAGAAAGGGTGCCGATCAAAGATTGTAAAGGGACTTTGTGCACAGAGCCTAAAGAGATAGGAGAGGTCCTTAATGAATACTTTTCTTCAGTATTCACAACTGAGAGGGACCTAGTTGTAGAGGAGGACAGTGTGTAACAGGCAGGTAGGCTAGAGGAGGTTGCTGTTAGTAAAGAAGATGTGCTAGGAATTCTGAGGAAGTTGAAGATAGATAAGTCCCCCAGGCCTGATAGGATTTATCCAAGGATTCTATGGGAAGCGAGGGACGAGATCGCAGGGCCTTTGGCGATGATCTTTTCGTCCTCACTGTCCACGGGTATAGTGCCGGAAGATTGGAAAGAGGCAAATGTCATTGCCTTGTTCAAAAAAGGGAACAGGGATAACCCCGGAAATTACAGGCCAGTTAGTCTTACGTCAGTGGTGGGCAAATTATTGGAAAGAGCTCTGAGAGATAGGATTTATGATCACTTGAAAAGGCACAGTTTGATTCGTGATAGTCAGCATTGTGAGGGGTAGATCATGCCTCACAAACCTTATTGAATTCTTTGAAGAGGTGACCAAACACGTGGATGAAGGTGGAGCAGTGGATGTGGTATACATGGATTTAAGTAAGGCGTTTGATAAGATTACCCATGGTAGGCTCATGTAGAAGGTAAGGAGGCATGGGATAGGGGGAAATGTGGCAGATTGGATTCAGAATTGGCTGACCCTTAGAAGACAAACGGTGGTAGTGGACGGAAAATATTCAACGTGGTGCTCAGTTACGAATGTTGTACCACAAGGACCTGTTCTGGGTCCTCTTCTATTTGTGATGTTTGTAAATGATTTGGATGAAGGAGTGGAAGGGTGGATTAGCAAGTTCGCGGATGATACGAAGGTGGGTCACGTTGTGGACAGTGCGGAGGGCTGTTCTAGGTTACAAAGGGACATTGATAGAATGCAGAGCTGGGCTGAGAAGTGGCAGACGGAGTTTAACCCTGAAAAGTGTGAGGTGATTCATTTTGGAAGGACAAACTTGAAAGCAGAATACGGGGTTAACGGAAAGATTCTTGGCAGTGTGGAGGAGCAGAGGGATCTTGGGGTTCATGTCCACAGTTCCCTGAAAGCTGCCACCCAGATGGATAGAGTTGTTAAGAAGGCGTATGGTGTGTTCGCTTTCATTAATAGAGGGATTGTCTTCAAGAGCCGTGAAGTTATGCTCCAGCTATACAAAAGCCTGGTTCGGCCACATCTGGAGTATTGTGTCCAGTTCTGGTCACCTCATTACAGGAAAGATGTGGAAGCATTGGAAAAGGCGCAGAGGAGATTTACCAGTATATTGCCTGGAATGGAGGGAAGGTCTTACGAGGAAAGGTTGAGGGAGCTCGGGCTTTTCTCTTTAGAACGACGAAGGATGAGAGGTGACTTGATAGAGGTGTACAAAATGATCAGAGGTATAGATAGAGTAGACAGCCAGAGACTTTTTCCTCGGGTGGAGGTAGCTTTTACGAGGGGACATAGTTTTAAAGTGAAAGGAAGTAGATATCGGGGAGACGTCAGAGAGTAGTAGGGGCGTGGAATGCATTGCCAGAGAGGGTAGTGGAGTCGGCCTCATTCGGGGCATTTAAGCAGCTATTAGATAGGTATATGGATGATCGTTTAAGGTAGGGGTGGAGGTTAGATAGACCTTAGGTTTAGGGTAAAAGTTTGGCACAACATCGTGGGCTGAAGGGCCTGTACGGTGCTGTACTGTTCTATGTTCTATATCCACAAATCATGAAGGTAGCAGGGTAAGTAGATAAAGTGTTTAAGGAGCCACATAGGTTACTTATCTGTATTAGATTAGGCAAAGAATATAAGAGCAAGGAGACTCTGCTGGAAATGTATAAAACACTTGTTATACCCCAACTGGAGTACTGTACTGTGTGCAGCTCTGGTCATCATGTTCTAGGAAGGGTGAGGATTACACTTGTGAGGGTGTAGAGGAGATTCACCAGCATGTTGCCAGGGCTGGAGGGTCTGAAACATGAGGAAGGATGAAATAGACTGGGATTATTTTCCTTGGAGCAGTGGAGATTGAGAGGGGACCTGATAGAGATATATACAGTTATGAGGAACGTAGAGACGTTGAAAAGGAAGATACTTTTTCCACTAGTTCAGGAGTGACTAACGTTATGGACCAGATCAAACCCCCTCAAAATATTTTAACAAGGTCACCTAAATCCTAACTTTTTCTTATTTTAAAGGTAGATGTGAAGTGCCGTGTTCCAAGTGCAATGTGAATGGACAAACTACTTGATGTTAAGCAAAACACAATTTATTTAAATGCTATAATTAAAATACAAACAAAAGAAAGAGGAATTTGGAATGACGCAACTATTGGAAAACTTAACTGAATAATCGATACAGTACCTATTACTAATTAACTGTTCCAATATAGTTACATCCCATAAACATACCCCTTGGCAAAAAGGCAGATTCAGACAGATTCTCACATGCAGTTCTCCAATCCAGGAGGAAAAAACATCAAGAGGAGGAAAAAACACCAGCCAGGAGTCATTCACTGAAGCTTCCAACTCTTTTGAGACCCCAAGAGCCTCTGCTTAAAACGAAACCTAAAAACTTTTTTAAAAACTCACAAAGCCTGGTCTGAGAGAGCTGGCCACCCCCAGGCTGCTTCCATTGTTCCAACATTTAAAAAAAAACCACAAGGCCTCCCAAATTGTTTGTTTTCTTAGGGACAGCTCAGTATCTCTGCCTCACAACCTCTCTTCAAAACAAAACCAGGACAAAAAAAACCTCTTCAAGTGACAGCATCGTCACACTAACTGGGCCATAGATTTACAATAAAACATAGAAAGCTAACAGCAGAGTTGAGGAGAAATGTTTTCACCCAGAAGCTGGTGGGAGCCTGGAACTCACTGCCTGAAAGGGTGGTTGAATCAGAAACTCTTGTAACATGTAAGCAATATTTAGATATTCCCATGCATTCCCATAGCCTCCAGGACTATGGACCAAAAGCTGGAAATGGGGTTAGTGTAATCAGATCTTTGTTAACAACACAGACATGATGGGCCAAATGGCCTCCTCTATATGCTGTAACCATCTAAGTCTGAGATTTAGCAGATGGTTCCACATTTGACATTCAAGTCAATGTGGAGAAACTGGGAATGTTCTCCTTGAGCCAGAGGAGGTTAAGAAGGGGTGACTTGGTGGCTCAGTGATTAGCACTGCTGCCTCACAGCACCAGGGACCCCGGTTCAATTCCAGCCTTGGGCAACTGTGTGTGCAGAGTTTGCACATTCTCACCGTGTCTGTGTGGGTTTCCTCCGGGTGCTCCGGTTTCTTCCCACAGTCCAAAGATGTACAGGTTAGGGTGGATTTGCCATGCTAAATTGTCCCATAGTGTTCAGGGATTTGTAGGTTAGGTGGATCAGCCATGGGAAATGCAGGGTTACAGGTATAGGCTAGGGGGGGTGAGTGTGAGTGGGACGCTCTTCGGTGAGTCGGTGTGGATTTGTTGGGCCAAATGGCCTGATCCTGCGCTAGGGATTTAATGACTCTATGATTCAAAGAGGACAAGAAACATGATGGAACTTGATAAAGTGAGGAAGGAGAAGCTGTTGCAGGAGTTTTGGTAACCAGTGTGATATCACCTGAAGGTAACATGTAAAAGAAAATGGGGAGAGTTTGCTTTACCAGCAAATTGTATTGTGGAGCACAGTGAAAGCACATTCAGTAGGAGCTTTTCAAAGGAAAATGAGCTTCTGGAAATATTTTCAAGTCTACCAGGAAAGAGCACTGAATGGAAACTGATTGAATAGATCATTTCAAGAGCTGACCAGGTATAATGGGCAGAGTGGCCTTTTCTGAGTGGGATTGTGTTCAGTTTCTAAATACCCAGTCCAACCCCCAACCCCTGCCACAGGAAGACTGTCTGGTGTTGCTTCTGTGTCCCTCTCCCTTTCGCTCTCCCCACTTTATCCCCCTCTTTTTCTTCCCCCACTCAATCTCTCTCCCTGCCCTCCTTCTCTCCTCCCATTTCTCTCCCTGTCCCCTGCTCTATCTTCTATCTCACCTCTCTTTCTTCTCTCTCCAGCCCTCCTCCTCACACCTCCCTCTCTTTCCCCTTCCTCTCTCTATATCCCCTTCTCTCTGCCAATCCCTCCACCCCCTACCTCTCCCTCTCCCCCGCTGTCTCTCCTTTCCTCCCCCACCCCCATGTCTACTAGTAGCTGCTGAGTTTCCAGTGAATTGGACTGTTAGAGGGGAGTAGCAGTGGATGGTACTACCAGGAGGGTTTTATTAATGAGATCTGCCCTTTTGCAGTGACTGTGCTCGCAATATTCAACGAGCTGCAGGCTGATGTGGATCTATACGCGCTGCTGTTTGGGGAAAGTGTTCTCAATGATGCTGTTGCCATTGTCCTGTCTTCGTAAGTATTTCCTGCAGCTGACTATAGAATAAGAGAACCTTTCTCTGTTGGTCACATAAAAATGACTGTTGATTAATCTCATTGGTGCCCAGCACTAAGAAACAAAGAAAGATTTGGATTTTTCATTTCCCTTATGCTATGTTTAAAAAAAAATTTTATTCTGCAGTTATTGTCACAGTAACTCAGCCATTCAGTCAGTTTTTAGCTAGGCAGTGGAATGCCAGGAATACCAGCATCACACAGCAGGTTAGATAAGGACTGAAGCTTCCTGTCCAATACACCAACACCCAGTCTCTCTCACCCCCAGGGCAGGAGCTGTGAGTCAGCAGTTTCCGGCCCCACATTGTCAATCCTTTAAGCTTTGTGCTGTCAATGTCACAGCCTGGCACTGGGCTAAAGCTCATAAACGTATTTCATGTTGACAATGTGCAGCATGCAGAGTGAACTTCCCCTCATCTCTGGAATGGATTTGAAACTTGCTGCACGAATTGGAAGGTTAGAGCCACCACATGGTGCTTCAGTCACATCAATATCTGCATTAACACCTGATAATAAATCCCTGATGTTTGATATTCCTGTCAGTCACCTTCCAGGGTGGAATAGGGCATTTGGGAAATCCCAGTGTGATCTAGCTGAGTATCAAATAAAAGGGGCTACAGGCAAACATCTTCAAAGGCATCCCAATAATCAGATCTTTCTTTCACAATAAACACCATTTTCTACAGCAACCTACAATAGCTGTCAATGTGGGAAATGTTTGAATTGGGTAGAATGTGACTGAGAATGAGCAGCTCAGTTGTTATCTGTTTCAGTGTTAAAGATGTTTGTGAGTTTTGCAGAGAGCTGAACTTTAAGATGGGTGGGAGTAGTTATGGAATCCTGTCCTGACAGCAGTTGGCAAGTCAGTACCCAAGAAGCAAAATGTGAAGATTGTGCAGTTTGGAAGCTGGAACATGAGGACAGTGTATCCTGGAATGAATGAGGACTCACAGTCAATGGACGATCAACTATAAGCTACAGGCCTTGTGATGATGACATTATTGCCCTGTCAGAAAGTTGATGGCATGACCTGAGCATGATGAATATGAACAGTGTTTCTGTCAACAGGTTGATGCCAGTCATTGAGATGCTAGTCCCGATTCATCACCATATAACTTTTGTCTACCATTGGATGGAAGTTTTATCACCATTATTTGTACTTATTCACCAAAGTGATATGTCAGTGCTGAAGACAAAAATGTCTTCTCCCACACTCTGTATGATAATGTGGAACGTCTGCCTTATGGAAAAAGCACATTAACATGAGTTGGATCTGATTGAGTTTCTTGCCAAACATGGCTCTGTCTTCAACGTGTTAGCAAGATGAAAGAAAATGGACTCTTGGGCTGCCCCTTCTACCTGGGAATTCACCAGATGATGCTGATGACGCAGCAATAATCTCTGAAGCTGCAGAAATGTTTGAGAAATCAGAAACAGGACCATCCCTGAACAGATTAGAAAATACTATCCCCATCCCTTTCCCCCATTGTATTGGGTCTCAGGCACTCCTTCAGAACATATTCGATGATATCCCCTCACAACTGGGAAAACCTGGGCTTCCAGGTGAACTTCTCAAGTATGGAAGCCTGACTTGGGACCACATCTCAATGACTACTTTCTCCTTTGCTGGAGAGAAGGTTCTGTCCCACAGGAAATGTGTGCTACAAACCACGACACAAGAACAAGGTGACAGAGGAGACACCCAGAATTACCAAGGCATCTCAGTCCTCAGCCACACTGGCATGTCCCTCACCAGATTCACTGTAACAAGGTCCCAGAAAATAGCCAACAGAATATACCCAGAGGTACAATGTGGATTCAGAACAGGCTGGTCAACATGAGCCATGGTATAACCCCAGCTTTGAGAGGTGCAGGGAGCAGCAAACATTGTGGCTCACTTCTATGGATCTCACAATAGCACTTGTCACAGTGAACAGAATGAGCCTCGACCAGATATTAGTGAAAATCCCATCTTCCCAAGCTTCTGTCTCATACCATCCAAAAACATATTCAGTTCAATGCCCCACCTGTTAGAATCTACAGCTTTGGGTCAGCAGGAAATATCTCAGGACAAGGGGGCCGACCAGTTCGGACCGAGATAAGGAGCAATGCCTTCACTCGGTCTTATGGCTATTAGGAGCTATCTCCCCTGGAGGCTGTGGCTGCTTCATTGTTGAATATATTTCAGGCTGGGACAGACAGGTGATTGGTCTTTGGGAATCGAGGGAAACAGGGAGTGGGCGGGAAAGGGAAGTTGAAGACTAAGTTTAGCTGTGATAGTATTGAATGGTGAGGCAGGACTGAATGGTCTCCACCTGGTGCTTTTCTCATGTTTTTCCATCTGGTTTTGAGCAGGAGTTAACTTAGAAATGGGTTGGCTGCTCAGTGTGACATGGCCTTTGCTCCTGGTTTGGTTGGTGTATGTAACAGGCCAGGAGTTCAATAAAGGACATCAGCAACATTGAGCCTTTTTAGTTATCCTCTGCCTCATAACTTGGCAAAACTAGTAACATTCAGTTTGAAATGAATCCCTGTCTTTCATCAAATTACTTTCACTCTTAACATATTTAAATACAATAATCATAATCTGTTTACAGAATTCTTAATTGTTATGGGAAAAATACAGCACCTGACTCCATTGGAACTCGACTGTCTAACACCACAGGGTTGGAGTAAACTATAAACACGTGTGCAGAGACCACTGGATGTGGAGTAAACTCTACTTGTCTAAACTCCTGGTAGCAATTGCATCAATGAAAAGATACGAGCATACATGAATATGCAGTGTTTGCACACTCCTGATTGTAATATTTACATATATGAATACATAATCACACGTGAATTGCATGAATATATAATATCTACTGGTGTAACATTTACATATAGAAGTGTAACATTTGCAGCATTATATGCACTTGCATCTTTGAATATTTTGTACCTGTTTGTATATGTAATATATGCAAACCCTAATACGTAGTATTTACATGCACAAGACACAACTTACATTCATTGTACAATCATCTGAATATATGTGTAATATTTGTGCACACAACTGCCTAACCATTACATACAGCTTGACTTCTCAAACATGTAGAGACAAAATCTCCAATTCTGGGAGTTTGTAAAATGCAGTTGCTACTCAGGTTTCCCTTTCTGACTCTCAAGTGCATGTTATTGTTTCTGCATTTTTGTTTGGTGTATTATTCCATACCTGGGAGATCAATTCAACCCAAAATAAAAGCAGTTTGTCTCCAGATAAGAGAGCACAGTGTTCCTGGGTGCTGGACCTCTGGTTATTAACCAGAGTATTGATGGGCTTGTGTCTACCTCTTCAGATGAAGATCCTCTATAAAGACACCAAAGATCCCTAAGTGCCCTGTGAAGATTGAGTTGTGATTTGCTGCTCTGCAGTTCACACCTAATTTGAATTCTGGGGATTGATTTGCCCCCCTTTTTCCATCTACTTGACCCTAATGATAGGATAAGGTGACCATCAGGTTGGGTCCAGAATATTTCTCTGAAAATGTGAATGTTTGGTTCAGTACTGAGTATTGAGCTTTACTCTGGGAATACTGGGTTCCTGGAATTTGAATTTATCTAAAAAACAATCAAAATATTCCAATACAACATTCAAGTTCAACACATCACATGGTGCTGAGAGTTCTGGAGGTTATGAGCCAGTGTATGGAATAATTGATTGTGCCATGAGGTTCAGTAAGGTACCTGAGTGTGGTTAATACAAACTCTCTGTATTAAACAAGAGTTGTTTCTCATGGGATAATCTTTTCTCATCATCTGTGCTCTGCAAATCTCAGTCACCAAAACTTTACCTCAAACCAGGGTATAGGTTCATGTTTATTGCTGTCTTTATCTCTCCCTAACCCTGCCTTTCCAAGGTAATTTCCAAGACAATCCCTGAAAATGCCAATAATGGATGACGTGATTTGCAAAGGTCAGATGTCCTGGTGTGTCCTATATTTGCAATTCTCTCTGCCATCCTGAGAGACTTGTTTCTGAATGGGTAACTGAGAGGTTCAAACCAGCAGCTGGTCAGAGGCCTTTATCTCAAACCAAACTAGATCTGAGAGAAGTTTTAGAAATCAGGCGTGGCCTGGATAGAGCAGATGGGGAGAAATTGTTTCTGCTCATTAAAGGATCAAGACTGAGAGGGCACAGATTTAAAGTGATCTGGAAAGGTAGTAATTGTCATGTGTGAAAGAAACCTTTTTCAGCCAGTGAGTAGTTAGAGCCTGGAATGCACTGTCTGGAAATGTGGTGGAAGCAGGGTCCAATGGAGGCATTTCAAAGAGGTATTAGATTATTTAAACAGAAACAATGAGTGAGGGTATGTGGAAAAGGCAGGAAAATGTCACTAAGTCATGGTGCTTGTTGGAAAGTCAGTGCCAGACATCAATGGCTGAATGGCCTCCATCTGTGCCAAATCACTTCTGTGATTCTGCAATTGTTCAACTATTAACATCAACTCGATGGGCCAAATGGCCACTCTGGACATTGATGCCACACTATTAGAGGGTCAGCGCTGAGGGAGCGTGTGCCATCGGAGGGTCAGCGCAGAGGGAGTGCCGGCGTTGGAGGGTCAGCGCTGAGGGAGTGCCGGGTCAGCGCTGAGGGAGCACGTGCCGTTGCGGGGGTGTCAGTGCCGAGGGAGCGCAAGTTTAAGGGTGGAAGTAGATTTTCTTGAAGGTGTACTGTTTGAGGTCTGTGCTGTGCATGGACTGAGTGTTGCTTGATGTTGGGTTTGGTATACATTGTCTAATAGGAATCTCTGTTCCATTAGATCGATTGTGGCCTATCAGCCTGAAGGAGTTAATGCTCACAACTTTGATGTGGCTGCCATGTTCAAGTCATTTGGATTATTTCTTGGAATATTCAGTGGATCATTTGCTCTGGGATCAGCCACTGGCATGGTTACTGCCCTGATATCCTTCAGCTTCAATTCTCCATGTGGCGTCTCCCTCTCCAAACAATGGCCTTGATTACAGATTCTACTGTTACTCAGGCAAAGACTACTTGGATCCCAAACTCCTCACTAACAGAATAAAAACTAAAAGAACTGCGGATGCTGTAAATCAGGAACAAAAAACAAAGTTGCTGGAAAAGCTCAGCAGGTCTGACAGCATCTGTGGAGGAGAAAACAGAGTTAACATTTTGGGTCCAGTGACCCTTCCTCAGAACTGATGGTGGCTGGGAAAACGTCAGTTTATATGCAGAAAATAGGGAGGTGGGTGGGGTAGGGAGTAAATGATAGGATAGAGCCCAAAGAGAGAGAAAGACATTGGACAGACAAAGGAGTTGCTAACAATCAGGCTGGGAGGGTGAGTAGTTGTTAATGGGGACTGTTAGTGACTAACAGCAGGAGGTGTGTAATGGCAGGCTATGTGGTAACAAGGCCTGGTGTGTGGGGTGGGGTCTGGGACATGGGACAGTTTAGGCCCTAAAATTATTGAACTCAATATTGAGTCCGGAGGGCTGTAGGGTCCCCAAGTGGAAAATGAGGTGTTGTTCCTCCAGCTTGCGTTGGACTTCACTGGAACACTGTAGCAAGCTGGAGACAGAGATGTTGGCCAGAGAGCAGTGTGGTGCATTGAAGTGGCAGGCAACAGGCAGTTCAGGGTCTTTTTTGCGAGCAGAACGTAGATGTTCTGCGAAGTGGTTGCCAAGTCTACGCTTCGTTTCCCCAATGTAGAGGAGACCACACTGTGAGCAGCGAATGCAGTAGACTAGATTCTTGGAAGTGCAGGTGAAGTGTTGCTTCACCTGGAAGGTATGTTTGGGCCCTTGGATGGTGGGGAGGGAGGAGGTAAATGGGCAGGTGTTGCACCTTCGCCAGTTACAGGGGAAGGTGCCATAGGGCTGTGGGGAGGTGTTGGGGGTGAAGGAAGTGTGGACCAGGGTGTCCCGGAGGGAACGGTCCCTGTGGAAGGCGGACAAGGGAGGGGAGGGGAATATGTGTCTGGTGGTGGCATCTTTCTGGAGGTGGCGGAAATGGCGTCTGATGATCTTCTGGATGTGGATGCTGATGGGATGGTAGGTGAGGATCAGGGGAACCCTATTGCTGTTGCAGGAGGGAAGAGAAGGGGTGAGGGCGGAAGTGCGGGAGATGGGTCGGACCTGATTGAGGGCCCTGTCAACAACGGAGCTGGGGAATCCTCGGTTGAGGAAGAATGTGGACATTTCGGAGGCTCCCTTGTCAAAGTTGGCCTCATCTGAACATATGCAACGGAGATGGAGGAACTGAGAAAATGGGATGGAGTCTTTACAGGAAGTGGGGTGTGAGGATGTATAGTCCAGGTAGCTGTGGGAGTCGGTGGGTTTGTAATGGATATTAGTGGCCAGTCTATCCCCAGAAATGGAAACAGAAATGTCGAGGAAGATAAGGGAGGAGTCAGAGATAGACCAGGTGAAAGTGAGGGCAGGGTGGAAATCGGAGGCGAAATTGATGAAGTTTTCCAATTCTAGACGAGAGAGGGAAGCAGCACCGATGATATCATACATGTATCGGAGAAAGAGTTGTGAGTGGGGGCCGGAATAGGACTGGAACAAGGAATGATCCACGTACCCCTTCTCTTCCAGTCCAAACATACCTTCCAGGTGAAGCAACACTTCACCTGCACTTCCAAGAATGTAGTCTACTGCATTCGCTGTTCACAATGTGGTCTCCTCTACATTGGGGAAACGAAGCGTAGACTTGGCGACTGCTTCGCAGAACATCTACGTTCTGCTCGCAAAAAAGACCCTGAACTACCTGTTGCCTGCCACTTCAATGCACCACCCTGCTCTCTGGCCAACATCTCTGTCTCCGGCTTGCTACAGTGTTCCAGTAAAGCCCAACGCAAGCTGGAGGAACAACACCTCATTTTCCACTTGGGGACCCTACAGCCCTCCGGACTCAATATTGAGTTCAATAATTTTAGGGCCTAAACTGTCCCATGTCCCAGCCCCCCACCCCACACGCCAGGCCTTGTTACCACATAGCCTGCCACTACACACCCCCTGTTGTTAGTCACTAACAGTCCCCATTAACAACTATTCACCCTCCCAGCCTGATCGTTAGCAACTCCTTTGTCTGTCCAACTGTCTTTCTCTCTCTTTGGGCTCTATCCTATTGTTTACTCCGTACCCCACCCACCTCCCTATTTTCTGCATATAAACTGATGTTTTCCCAGCCACCATCAGTTCTGAGGAAGGGTCACTGGACCCGAAACGTTGGCTCTGTTTTCTCCTCCACAGATGCTGTCAGACCTGCTGAGCATTTCCAGCACCTTTGTTTTTGTTCCTCACTAACAGCTAGGGACTAGTGCCAAAACTGGGAGAGCTGTCTCACAGATCTGTCAAGCAAAGCTTCACATAGTCATACTTACAGAATCGTATCTTACAGACAATGTCCCAGACACCACCATCACCATCCCTGGATATGCCCTGTCTCACCGGCAGGACAGACCCAGCAGAGGTGGCGGAACAGTGGGAAACAGTCAGGAGGGTGTTGTCCTGGGAGTCCTCAACATTGACTCCTGACCCCATAAAGTTTCATGGTAGCAGATTAAACGTTGGCAAGGAAATCTCCTGCTGGATACGATGTACTATCCTCCCTCAACTGATAGATTGATACTCCTCCATGTTGAGCAGCACTTGGAGGAAGCACTGAGAGTGGCAAGGACAGAGAATGTACTCCAGGTGGGGAATTTCAGCGTCCATTATCAAGAGTGGCTCGGCACAAGTACTACTGATCAAACTGGTCGGGTCCTAAAAGACATAGCTGCTAGACTGGGTTTGCATTTTGTGTATTCGTTATTGCCATCCTTAATTGCGTTGAATTGCTGCAGACCTTCGAGTGTAGGAGCTTAGACAGTGCTATTAGGGAGGAAGTACCAGGATTTTGTCCTATCATCAAAACTTCATCACAACATTGGACCAAATGGACGAAAGAGCTGGATTCCAGACATCAAGTGAGAGTGACAGCCCTCGAGATCAAGGCTGCATTTGACCAAAAATGGCATCAGAGAGCCCTAGCAAGACTGGAATCAGTGGCAATTGGGGGAAAACTCTCTGCAGGTTGGAGTCATACCTGGCACATAGGAAGATGGTCGTGGTTGTTGAAGGTCAGTCATCTCAACTCCAGGACATCTCTGCAGGAGTTCCTCAATGACCTTCCCTCCATAATAAGGTCAGATGTTTGCCAATGCTTGCATAATATTCAGCACCATTTGTGACTCCTCAGATACTGAAGCAGTCCATGTTCAAGATTGAGACTGGGCTGACTAAAGGCAAGTACAAATGTGCCACTAAAGTGCTAGGCAATGACCATCTCTAACAGGAGAGAATCTAGCGATCACCACTTGACATTCAATGGTGTTACCATCACTGAATCCCCCACTAACAACATCCTGGGGGTTACTATTGACCAGAAACTCAACTAGACTCACCACATAAACACAGTGGCTACAAGAGCAGGCCAGAAGCTATGAATACTGTGGCGAGTAACTCACCTCCTGACTCCCCAAAGCCTGTCCACCATCTGCAAGGCACAAGTCAGGAACGTGATGGAATACTCCCCATTTGCCTGGATGCACACAGATTCAACAACATTCAAGAAGCTTGTCTCCATCCAGGACAAAGCAGCCCCCGCTTGATTGACACCACATCCACTCCTTCCTTCACCGATGCTGAATAGCAGCAGTGTGTACCATCTACAAGATTCACTGCAGAAATTCACCAGAGATCCTCAGACAGCTCTTTACAAACCCACAACCACTTCCATCGAGAAGGACAAGTGCAGCAGATACATGGGAACACCGCCCCCTGCAAGATCCCCTCCAAGCCACTCACCATCCTGACTTGGAAATATATCACCGTTCCTTCACTGTCACTGGGTCAAAATCCTGGAATTCCCTCCCTAAGGGCATTGTGGGTCAACCCACAGCACATGGACTGCAGTGGTTCAAGAAAGCAGCTCACTACCACCTTCTCAAGGGGCAACTAGGGACGGGCAATACATGCTGGGCCCAGCCAGCAACACCCACATCCCATGAAAGACTAAATGAAAAATGAGTCAAAGTGTACTTGCTGGTGCCACTCCGTCAATGGGTTTGATCAGATTATCTGGAAGTTGTGACATTGCTGTTTGTGGGATCTTGCTGTGTACAAAATGGCCACAACTTTCCCAAAATACAACAGTGTCAATGCTTAACAGCCTTCATTGGCTGTGAAATGCTTTGGGTTATTCTAAGAATAGGAGAAGTGCTAATCAAGTGTAAGTTCCTTTATTTTTGTTCAGTGAGCTGCCCAGACTCCAGGGTCTGCAGAGTGACAACGTATCAGATGTGAGCAGTTTCCTCAAATTTCTTCCGGAAGGTTCTAACTGGAGCTTGAAATGAACGAAGCTGCAAGCAGTACGTACATTGTACGGAACAGAGTCTTCCAAGGGATCTTTGAGTGTGTCTCACTCCCTCCCTTATCACAGAGTGTGTCTCCTTCACTCTCACAGGATTAAGGAGGTTTTGATGGGTTTAAAAATGAACAAATCACCATGGTCTGGGTGAGTTGCATCCCAGCCTCTTATGGGAGATGAGGGAGAAAATTACAGGGGCTCTGACCCAAATTTGTAATTCCTCTCTGGTCCCAGGAGAGGTGCCACAGGACTGGAGGACAGCTAATGTGGTCCCACTTTACAAGAAGGGTGTTAGAGATAGACCAGGGAACTACGGACCAGTAAGTCAGCAGTTGGGGAACTATTGGAGAAAACAGTGAAAGAGAAAGTTAATCTCTATTTGGAGAGGCCAGGTTAGATCGGGGATAGTCAGCATGGCTTTGTCAGAGTGAGGTCATGCCTAACAAACTTGATTTGAATTTTTTGAGGAGTTGACCAGCTATGTAGATGAGTGTAGGACATTTATATGGATTTCAGCAAAGCCCTTTGACAAGGCCCCACATGGAAGACTGATAAAGAAATTAAAAGCACATGGGATCAGGCTAACTTGGCAAGGTGGGACAGGGTGGTGGTAGAAGGCTGTGTGACTGGAGCTGTGTGTGTAGTGGTATACCATAGGGATCTATCCTGGCTCCTTATTGCTCATGGTCTATATAACTGATGTAGATGAGAATGTGGTTGGGGGATGATCAGTAAATTTTGGATGACGCAAAGACTGTCTTAGGTTGCAGGAGGCTATAGACAGATTGCTCAGATGGGAGTCAACCCTGATGCACTTTGGAAGAAGTAACAAGACAAGGGTGTACTCAACAAATGGCTGGATACCAGGAAGCTCAGAAACACAGAGGGATTATGGGATGCTTGTCCACAGATCGCTGAAAGTGGCAGGTCAGGGTATTGGATGGCTAAGAAGGCACACAGGACACTTGCCTTTATCAAACGAATTATAGATTATAAGGGCAGGGAGGTTATGTAGGAGCTGTACAGACTGTTGGTCAGGCCACAGCCAGAGTACTGTGTGTAGTTCTGGTCCCCACACTATAGCAAGGATGTGATTACTCTGGAGGGGATGCAGAGAAGATTCACCAGGATGTTGCCTGGAATGGAGCAGGTTAGCTAATGAAGAGAGGCTGGATAAACTCGGGTTGTTTTCTTTGGTGCAGAGAAGGTTGCGGGGGGATCTGTCAGAGATGTATAAGATCATGAGGGGCATGGACAGGGTGGATAGGAAGAAGCTGTTTCCCTTAGTTGAAGGGTCAATAAGAAGGGGAAATTATTTTAAGGCAAAAGGCAGGAGGTTTATTGTACCTGGGAGGGTAGTTGGATTGGGAAACCTCAGCCTCATAAAAAGTACTTGGATGAGCACCTGAAATATCATAATATCATAAGGCTATGGGCCAAGTGTTGGAAACTAAGACTAGTGTGAGTACATTGGTGCAGGCTGAAAGGCCTCTCTGTGCTGAATAACTCTCCCCTGAATATTTCCCTTAACCTGTACACGTTACAAAATTCACCAGACTCCGAGATTTTCAGTTGCTGGAGACAGCCCTTTTTTTCCTGATGTCATGGAGTACCTTCCTATTGGCTGAAGCATGTGGTTTCACAGGTGAGTGCATAGGACAGAGCCATAAAACATTCACACATTCACCCTCTAAAAGGTGTCATTACAGTATCGTAATGTAGTCACTCTGCGTATACGGTCTGATCCAGATCCCCTACATTATTTACCTCTGAGGGGGGAGGCTTTGGGTATGTGCATGTATGTGGGAGTTTAGGGATTGATGGAGCTATGGGCAGAGAGCAGAACAGTAGAATTAGTTTGGGACAAAACCAAACTTACTGGAGAAACAGCAGGTCTGGGAGCTTCTGTGGAGAAAAATCAGAGTTGCCGTTTCAGGTCCAGTGACCTTTCTTCAGAACTAGTGGTAGCTAGGGAAAAGATGATTTTAATAGCGAAGATGGGGTGGGGGAAAGGGGAAGATGGAAATAGAGCCCAAAGAGAGAGAGAAAAAGAAATTGGACAGATTAAGGAGTGGTTGAAGCTCAGTCTGGGGGAATGAATAGCTGTTTATGGGGACTATTAGTAGCTGACAATGGGTAATGTGTAATAGCAGATGGTGTGATAACAAGGCCTAGTGTGTGTGTGGATGGGGGAAAAGCATGATGAAAGGTGCTCAAGCCCTAAAATATTAAGTCCAGAGGGCTGCAGGATTCCCAAGCAGAAAACGAGATGTTGTTCTTCCAGCTTAGATTGAGCTTCGCTGGAACACTGCACCAAGCCTGAGACAGAGATGTTGGCCAGGGAACAGGGTGGGGTGTTAAAGTGGCAGGCAACTGGAAGCTCAGCATCTTTTTTGTGATGAGAACGTAGGTGTTCTGCAAAGCAGTCACGCAGTCTGTGCTTTGTTTCCCCAATACAGGCCTGCTGATAAGGGTAGTGTTGTTGTTATCTGGCATACTGACCTCTACATTGCAGAGGCTGAGCGCCAACTCTCAGATACCTCCTCCTATCTTTCCCTGGACCATGAACCCACCACAGAACATGAGGCTACTATGTCCACAATGGTCACTGGTGATCTCCCCCCACCCCACCCCCACGTCCAAGCTCATAGTCTCCCAACCACGCACAACTCGCTTCTATCTCCTTCCCAAAATCCACAAACATGACTGCCCAGGCAGACCCACTGTTTCTGCCTGCTCCTGCCCCACAGAACTCATCTCTTCCTCCCTCAACTCAATTTTCTCTCCCTTTGTCCAGTCCCTTCCCACTCACATCCACTATTCATCTTGCACTTTTCATCAGTTTCAGAATTTCCAGTTTGCGGGTTCTGGCCGCTTCCTCTTTACCTATTCCACACTAGGAGGGTCTTAAGGCTCTCCACTTATTACTAGAGCAAAGACCTGAACTGTCCCCACCTACCACCATCCTCCTCCACTTGGCCGAGCTCATCCTCACCCTCAACAACTTCTCTTTTAACTCCTCTTGTTTTCTTCAGGTCAGGGGGTGACCATGGGTACCTGCATGGGCCCCAGTTATACCTGTCTCTTTGTGGGGTACATGGAACATTCCTTGTTCCAGTCCTATTCTGGCCCCCACCCACATCTCTTTCTCTGGTATATCGATGATTTCATTGGTGTGCTGCTATTTTTTTCTTTATTGATTCACGGGATGAGGGTGTTGCTGGTTAGGCAGCATTTATTGCCCATCTTTAATTGACCCGAGGGCAGTTAAGAGTCAGCCACATTGCTGTGGGTCTGGAGTCACATGTAGGCCAGACCAGGTAAGGATGGCAGTTTCCTTCCCTAAAGGACATTAGTGAGCCAGATGGGTTTTTCTGACAATCGACAATGGATTCACAGTCATCATTAGATTTTTAACTCTGGATATTTATTGAATTCAAATTCCACCATCTGCCGTGGTGGGTTTCAAACCCAGGTCCCCAGAACATTATCTGGGTCTCAGGATTAGCAGTCCAGCAATAATACCACTAGGCCATTGCTCCCAGCCCTTTCAAAGAACAACACAGTACAGGAACAGGCCCTCTGGCTCTCCAAGCCTGTGCCGACACAATTTGCCCTTCCATACTAAAACTCTCGTCTGGAATTGGAAAAGTTTATCTATTTCACTTCTGATTTCCACCCTACTCTTACCTTCACCTGGTCCATTTGTGACTCCCCCCTTCCCTTCCTTGACATCTCTGTTTCCATTTTGAGTGATAGACTGGTCACCAATATCCACTACAAACCCACCAACTCCCACTGTTATCTTGACTATACATCCTCACACCCTGCTTTCTATAAAGACTCTATTCAATTCTCCCAGTTCCTGGGTCTCTGTCACATCTGTTCCAATGATGCCAACTTTGACAAGGGAACCTCAACTGAGGATTCCCCAGCATTATAATTGAAGGGTTCCTCAGCTGGGTCCAAACCATCTCCCACACCCCCACCCTCACCCCCTCTTTTCCCTCCCACAACAGTGATTGGGTCCCCCTTGTCCTCACCTACCATCCCACTAGCATCCACATCCAGAAGATCATTAGCCACCTCCAGCGAGATGCCACCAACAGACACACATTTCCCTCCCCTCCCTTGTCACCCTTTGCAGGGACCATTCCCTCCGAGACTTCCTGGTCCACTCCTTCAATCCCAACACCCCACCCACCCACCCACAGCCTCACAGCACCTTGCCCTGCAACCGCTGAAGTTGTAACAACATCTGCCCATTTACCTCCTTCCTCCCCAGTATTCAAAGACCCAAACACACCTTCCAGGTGAAGCAGCACTTTACCGGCATTTCACTCGACCCAGACTACTGCATTCACTGCTGACAATGTAGTCACCTCTACTTTGGGGGAATGAAGCGTAGACTGGGCAATCGCTTTGCAGAGCACCTATGTTCTGTCTGCAAAAAAGACCCTGAGCTTCAGCACACCACCCTGTTCCCTGGCCAACATCTCTGTCTCAGGTTTGCTGCAGTGTTCCAGTGAAGCTCTGTTCAAGCTGAAAGAACAGCACCTCATTTTCCACTTGCGAACTCTGGAGCTATCTGGACTTAATATCCAGTTGAACAGTTTTAGGCCCTGAGGCAGCTTCTCCCATGTCCTTACCCCAACCCCCACTGAGTCCTGATGAAGGGTCCCAACCTGAAACATCGATTTTCCTGCCCCTCAGATGCTGTCATACCTGCTCTGCTCCTCCAGCTCCACATTTTATCGACTCTGACTTCCAACGTCTGCAGTCCTTGGTATCTCCCCACACACCAGGCCTTGTCTTTATGCAGGCTGCTACCACACACTACCCATTGTCAGCCACTAATAGTCCCCATTAGCAGCTATTCGTTCCCCTATACTGACCTGAACTAATCCGACTGCTGTCCTACTGTTTTTTGCTTTCTCTGTGCTCTGTCTCCACCTATTGTTTACCCAAACCCCTTCCTCTATGTAAGAACCACCCTTTTCCTAGCCACCATCAGTTCTGTAGATGGGTCACTGGACCTGAAATGTTAACTCTGATAAGACCATCAGACAGAGGAGTAGAAATTAGGCCATTCAGCCCCTCGAGTCTGCTCTGCCATTCAATCATGGCTGATAACTTTTTCAACCTTATTCTCCCACTTTTGCCCATAACCCTTGATCCCGTTGACAATGAAGAACCTATCTATCTCCGTCTTAAATATACTCAATGACCTGACCCCCAGAACCTCCTGTGGCAGTGAGTTTCTTAGATTCACCACTCTCTGGCTGAAGAAGTTTCTCCTTATCTTCATTCTAAAGGGTCTTCCCTTTACTCTAAGGCTGTGCCTTTGACTCCTAGTCTCTCCTACCAATGGAAACATCTTCCCAATGTCCACTCTGTCCAGGCCATTCACTATTCTGTAAGTTTCAATTAGATCCCCCCCTCATCCTTCTAAACTCCAATGAGTATAGACCCAGAGACCTCAAACGTTCCTTATATGTTAAGCTTTTCATTCCTGGGACCATTCTCGTGAACTTCCTCTGAATCTGCTCCAGGGCCAGTATATCCTTCCTGCGATATGGGGCCCAAAACTGCACACATTTCTCTAAATGTGGCCTGACCAGAGCCTCATAAAGCCTCAGTAGTACATCCCTGCTTTTATATTCAAGTCCTCTCAAAATAAATGCCAACATTGCATTTGCCTTCCTGACTACTGACTCAACCTGTCAGTTTACCTTAAGAGAATCCTGCACTAGAACTCCCAAGTCTCTTTGCACTTCAGACTTCTGAATTTTCTCCTCATTTAGAAAATAGTCCATACCTCTATTCTTACCAAAGTGCATGACCTCACACTTTCCCACGTTGTACTCCATCTGCCACTTCTCTGGCCACTCTCCTAACCTGTCCAAATCCTTTCGCAGCCCCCCCCAACCTCCTCAATACTACCTGTCCCTCCACCAATCTTTGTATCGTCTGCAAACTTAGCCAGAATGCCCTCAGTTACTTCATCTGGATCATTACTGTATAAAGTGAAAAGTTATGGTCCCAACCCTGACCTTTGCGGAACACCATTTGTCACTGGCTGCCATCCTGAGAAAGACCCCTTTATCCCCACTCTCTGCTTTCTGCCAGACAGCCAATCTTCTATCCATGCTAGCACCTTGCCTCTAACACCATGGCCCTTATCTTACTCAACAGCCTCCTGTGTGACACCTTGTCAAAGGCCTTCTGGAAATCCAGGTAGATAACATCCATTGGCTCTCCTTGGTCTACCCTGCCCATTACTTCCTCAAAGAATTCTAACAGATTTGTCAGGCATGACCTCCCCTTGATGAAGCCATGCTGACTTTGCCCTATTTTACCATACACTTCCAAATATTCAGAAATCTCATCCTTTGCAATGGACTCCAAAATCTCGCCCATGACTGAGGTTAGGCTAATCGGCCTGTAATTTTCCGTCTTTTGCCTTACTCCCTTTTTAAACAGGGTGTCACGTTAGCGATTTTCCACTCCTCTGGGACCCTCCCTGATTCTAGTGATTCCTGAAAGATCACACTAATGCTTCCACTATTTCTTCAGCTATCTCCTTTAGAACTCTGGCGTGTAGTCCATCTGGTCCAGGTGATTTGTCCACCTTCAGGCCAATCAGTTTTACTAGCACCTTTTCCTTGGTGATGGCCACCATACTCAGCTCTGCCTCCTGACTCTCATGAATTTTTGGGAGTTTACTTATCAGTCTTCACGGTGGAAGACACGTGAAGTAATTATTCAGTTCCTCAGCCATTTCCTTGTTCACCACTACTATCTCTCCACCATCATTTTCAAGTAGTCCAATATCCACTTTTGCCTCTCTTTTGCCCTTTATGTACCTAAAGAAACTCTTACAGTCCTCCTTTATATTACTGGCTAGCTTACCCTCATATTTAATCTTCTCCCTCCTTACTTTTTTTTTGTTGCCCTCTGTTGGTCTTTGTAAGCTTCCCAGTCCTCTGGTTTCCCACTGCCCTTCACCACATTATATGCTTTCTCTTTTGCTTTTACGCTATCCCTGACCTCCCTAGTCAGCCATGGCTGCCTCATCCTCCCTGTACCATGCTTCTTTATCATAGGGATGAATTTTTGTTGTGTCTCCTGAATTCCTCCTAGAAACTCCTGCCATTGCTATTCCACTGTCTTTCCTGCTCGGCTCCTCTCCCAGTCAATTCTGCTCAGCTCCTCCCTCATACCTCTGTAGTCGCCTTTATTCAGCTATAAAACCGTTACCTCTGATTCTATCTTCTCCCTCTCAAATTGCAGTGTAAATTCTATTATATTATGATCACTGCCTTCTAAGGGTTCCTTCACCTTAAGCTCCCTTATCAAGTCTGCCTCATTGTACAACACTAAACCCAGTATTACCTGTTCCCTTGTGGGCTCCACCACAAGCTGCTCCAAAAAACCATCTCGTAGACATTCCACAAACTCCTTTTCTTGCAATTCACTACCAACCTGATTTTTCCAGTCCATGTGTATATTGAAATCCCCCATGATCACTGTGACTGCCTTTCCCACACCAGGGGCTAGAAAAAGTGTGTATCTTGCGTCCCAGCTCCTGACTACTGTTTGGAGTCCTGTACGTAACTTCAACTGTGGTTTTTTTTTTAACCCCTGCAGTTCCTCAACTCTACCCACACAGATTCTACACCATCTGACCTTACTACAAGGCAAACATGGTTGTGTACTCATCAAAAGTGTGGGAAATCAAACTCTGTTCCTGCACGATGTGGGATTAGTGATGAATTTAATCGTGTTGTTTTTATGAGAATGTTTGGACATAGATTTTAAATGTTTAATTCGAGAAGGAAAAATGAAAGATTCTTTTCTGAGTGAATTGCTTTGTTGACTATAGGCGTGGTGGCTGTCCTGTTCTGTGGGATCACTCAAGCTCACTACACTTACAACAACCTCTCTCCGGAATCGAAGCTCCGCACTAAACAGGTACAGTACTGCTGTTTGCAGTGTGTTTGTTGGAGAGTGAGGGCTGAAGTCACTCCGCAAATTGCCTCATCCAATGAGCCGTCACTTCCCTCTGAGGAGTCATAGAATCCCTACAGTGTATGAAGAGGCCATTCAGCCCATATAGTTTGCACCAACCCTCCGAATAGCATCCCACCCAGCCCCACCCCCTACCCTGTAACCCTGCATTTTCCCATAGCTAACCCACCTAGCCTGCACATTCCTGGACTCTATGGGCAATTTAGCATGGCCAATCCATCCTTACCTGCACATCTTTGGACTGTGGGAGGAAACCCACGCATCTGGAGGAAACCCACACAGACACAGGGAGAACGTGCAAACTCCACACAGACAGTCGCCAGAGGGTGGAATCGAACCCAGGTCCCTGGTGCTGTGGGGTGGCAGTGCTAACCACTGCGCCACTGTGCCACTTCCTGACTCTTCTCTGTTTGACTGTTCCCTCACTGTTCCCTGATTGTCTGTTCCCTGTCTCTTCCTGCAGCTTCTCAATGTGTGATCACTGTCTCAGTCACTTCAGCTTTCTACCGTCTGCTCCTCTGCCACTTCTCAGTGTCATAATGGTGCCCCACATTCTAAACCTGCCCGATGCCCCTGAATTGAATTGAATTAAATCATTTCTTGCCACATATATTCAGTATAAAATACAGTGAAAAGCCATGCATGGTGTCATTCACATTAACTTAAAATAAAAAATAAAGAAAGGTAACTTAAAGAGAGTCCAACTTTTCCTTCTCTGGTGTTACTGTCCTGCTCCAGGCTGTACCAGCCCACGCCATGCCACTGCCAGGGGCCCACTCCATGCGAAAATGAGAGTCCCGCTCCAGGCTTCAGAGGCTGGCTGACTCTGTGGCTGCACCTACCTCTGAATCCCCCTGCAGAGGAGGCGGGTGACGGGGGAGATGGACGCTGGAGAGGGATGGGGGTGTGCCAGAGATGGTGGGGGCATGTGGGGAGGGGGAATCTGGGGTGTGGAGAGTGGGGAGGCATTTACACTCCACCTCTTTAGAGCAGGGGAGGCATTTACACTCCACCTCTTTAGAGCAGAGAAGGCTGGGCGGGGGGTTGTCATGATTGAGGGTTATAAGGTTATGAGGGATATGGACAAGGTCAATAGAGAGCAGCTGTTGCCCTTGGTTGAAGGATCAGTCATGGGACAGCAGGGTAAGGGGTCAGAGATTCAGAGGGAGTGGGAAAAGTCTTCACTCAGTGGGTGGTGGGAACCTGGAGTGCACTGTGTAGGAAGGCAGTGGAGGCCAGAAACTTTACAGCCTTTAAAAAATATTTGGATGAGCACTTGAAATACCATAATACTTAAGGATATGGGACAAGTGCAGGAAATTTGGATTAACGCACCTTTAGTGGTAGTTATGTCTGTACAGACTCAATGGGCCAAAGGTCCTTTTCTGTGCTCTATGACTCTATTTCTCCATCAGCCCTTCATAGCATGAAGGACCCTCCTCCTCAACCTCTCCCCTCACTTGAGGCACAGTGAGGTTAAACCACCACCAGTCATCTCTCTCTAATGGGTGAGCAGCCTTGCTGTCCTCTGGGACTGTCATGAATTTACTTTTTTCTAACCACCTGTCCAAACTCTTAAAAAAACCCTTGTCAGACTCTTGGTCCCTCAAATATCTGTGTAAGTTCTCCTCACATTTACTCTCAGCACCTTTCTGCTGCCTTCCAGAAAGTTCCATCCCACTCGGTCATGCAATCACCTCACTCCCTGTTTGTGATGTGTTGTAAACTGTTTTGATTGAAACAAGGCATCAAAGACAAATTCCGCATATTTCAGTATTCCTGCCTCTCTCTGTAGCTGCCAGGAACACAGTGACAGGAACTGGATGTAATGCTCAGTTCCATGGTTGAGATGATTCTTTCACAGAAACTCTGTATTTGACATGTGATTACATTAATCTCTTACAAATGAAATTTCAAAATAATGCTATTTTATGTTTTTCAGTTGTTTGAGCTCCTCAATTTCTTAGCAGAAAATTTCATCTTTTCCTACATGGGGTTGGCACTGTTTACCTTCGAAAGCCATGTCTTCAATCCCATCTTCATCATTACAGCCTTTGTATCCTTTCCTGATCCTTCAGTATCTTACAGCTAACCATGGATCCTGGTTGCAATGTTGAATTGATAAGTAATGAATAAGAAACACGTGACAAACAGTTTAGAGAGAGATATTTTCTGAAGAAGGGTCTAGGCCCGAAACGTCAGCCTTCATAGAATAGAATCCATAGAATCCCTACAGTGTGGAAACAGGCCCTTCGGCCCAACAAGTCCACACTGAACCTCAGAGCATCCCACCCAGACCCATCCCCCTATAACCCACCTAATCTACACCTCCCTGAACACTACAGGCAATTTAGCATGGCCAATCTACCTAGCCTGCACATCTTTGGACTGTGGGAGGAAACTGGAGCACCCGGAGGAAACCCATGCAGACACGGGGAGAATGTGCAAATTCCACACAAACAGTCGCCCGAGGCTGGAATCAAACCCGGGTCCCTGGCACTGTGGGGCAGCAGTGCTAACCACTGAGCCACCGTGCTGCCCACTTCCTGCTCCTCTGATGCTGCTTGGCCTGCTGTGTTCATCCAGCTCTACACCTTGTTATCTCTAGAGAGAGATACTGATAGGTTGTATAAGTGGGCACAAAGTTGGTAAATGGAATATAAAATGGGAAAATATGAAGTTCAATTTGGAAGGGAGAATAAAAGAACAGTATTATTTGAATAGAGAAAAACTGCAGAAAGCTGCAACATAAAGGGACTTGGGGGAGACTTGTGCACGAAACACAGCGAGCCAGCACCCAGGTACAGCAGGTAATCAGGAAGGCTAATGGAATGTTGGCTTTATTTCAAAGGGACTGGAGTAAAGAGTAGAGAAATCTTAATGTAACTTTACAAGGAGAGACCACAACTAGAGTACTGAGAGCAGGTTTGGTCACCTTATTTAAAAGATACCATTTCTTTGGAGGCAGTCCAGAGAAGGTTCAGTAGGACAATGCCCGGTATGGAGGGATTGTCTTATGAACAAAAGCTAAACATTTAGGACTGTACTCAGTGGAGTTTAGAAGACTGAGAGGTGATCTCTTTGAAACATGTAGGATTCTTAATGGGCTTGACAGAGTAAATACTGAGAGGACGTTTTCCCTCATGGGAGATTCTCGGACCAGAGGACACAGTCTCAGAATAAGGGGGTGTCAATTTGGGACTGAGATGAGAAGGAATTTCTTCTCTTAGAGGTTCACGAGTCTTTGGAACTCTTTGCACAGACAGCTGTGGGGGCAGAGGCTTTGTGGAAATTTAAGGCTGAGATGGATAGATTCTTGATCAGTCAGGGAATCAAGGGTTACGGGAGAAAGGGCAGGAAAGTGGATGTAAGGGATGTCGGATCAGCCGTGATCTTATTGAATGACGGGCCAAGCTCAAGGGGCTGAATGGCATATTCCTGTTCCTATTTGTTATGGTTATATGAATATAAATGCTACATTATGACCATCTCCAACAAAGAAAATCTAATTATTCTCCCCACCCTTGATGTTCAATGGTGTTACCATCATTGAATTTCCCACTATCAACATCCTGGAGAATACCATTGACCAGAAACTCAACTGGACTCACCACATAAACACAGTGGCTACAAGAGCAGGTCAGAGACCAGGAATACTGCAGCAAGTAACTCGCCTCCTGACTCCTCAAAGCCTGTCCATGATATATAAAACACAAGTCAGGAGTGTGATGGAATACTCCTCACTTGCCTGGATGGGCGCAGCCCCAACAACACTCAAGCTTGACACCATCCAGGGCAAAGGAGCCCGCTTGATTGGCACCACATCCACAAACATCCACTCTCTACACCATCAATGCTCAGTAGCAGCAGTGTGTACTATCTACAAGATGCACCTCAGTCAGCCTCTTCCAAACCCATGACCACTTCCATCTAGAAGGACAAGGGCAACAGATGCATTGGAACACCACCCGCTCCAAGTTCCTTTCCAAGTTACTCACCATCCTGACTTGGAAATATATCGCCGTTCCTTCACTGTCACTGAGTAAAAATGCTGGAAAATAGGAGCAGGAGTAATCCATTCGGCCCTTCAAGCCTGCTTTGCCATTCAGTATGATCATGGCTGATTATCCAATACAGTCCCCTGTTCCTGTTTTCTCCCCCATACCCTTTGATCCCTTTAGCCCTAAGAACTATCTCTAACTCCTTCTTGAAACTCCCTCCAAAGAGCATTGTGGGTCTGACTGCAGCGGTTCAAGAAGGCAGCTCACTACCACTCAAGGGCAACTAGGGATGGGCAATAAACGCTGGCCAGCCAGCAACACCCACATCCCCAGAGTGAGTTAATAAAACTGTGAAGTGCCTACTTTATAAGCAGTGTGATGAATGGTGAAATGTTATTCATAAAGATTTTGATCTGTGATCATCTGATCTTAGCTCAGCTCTGAAAAGGAACTGTTTGAGATAAACTGTTTGACACGTAGTTTTGTTTTTCTGAATTATAAGATGAATTAAGTTTTAATGAAAATCTAATTGCTATGTTTCCTGTTATTCAGATTGAATTTTAATTGGGATCATTTCCACAGCGTGGAGAACAGTGAGAAACTGAGCATGAATCTGTAAATGCGACTTTTATTAAATATTGGAACTAAATGTTAATTAATTGTTTCAGATGTAAAGCTTTTTGTTACTGCACGGTAATTCCAGCTGTAATTTCCTTGATTCCAATCACTAGCTTGCTGTATTCCTCGGCAGAGCTGCTAACATTTACCCACTATCCTTTCTCCTGAACCTGGGCCGAAGGAACAAGATTGGGTCCAATCTGCAGCACATGATGATGTTTGCTGGTAAGTCTGTTACTGTGGTAAATTTGATCATTAAACACATTGAGACAGAATGCACTGAACTCTTACACATCTCTGTGCTCCAGTGTGTGCACATCTGATAGAAACACATCATACGGACTGTCATAGCGTAATTAGACTGTGACAAGTTTACTTAAGAAGTTTCCGTTATAAATATGAATCTGTAATGGAAATGCATGTAGAAGTAATGATTGTGTGAAGATTTCTTAAAAGGACCTAATTTCTATCTGTATGACATGTGCTATTTACAATGCTTCATCCTACGCTTCAGCTGAGATCTACCCAGCCTTCTTGCATCACTGGGGGACATACTTTTTTAAAAGCTTTTTGAAATCTTTTCACTCTGGAAGATGCAATTGGATCTGTTTCCCACTCTGTGTCTCAGTTATATGTAGGTTTGATAAGTATCTGTGTGCCAGAATGGTAACAGTTTTAAGCTTGCTGCAGTGGGTTCTGACAGTGAATGAAATCTGTCTCATTACTCCTAAATCTCTGCTGAGGTCAGACCGGAGGTCAGTTTCAAACCATTCACAGTCACCCAGTGCCTCAAACGTTGATCCAATTCTATCTCACACTCCTTCCCACACTATCAGTGTAACCGTTGACCAATCACGCTAGTGTTTCTATTCTTGATGTGTCAGTGTTGATGATACAGTTGGGGGTTTTCAGTCAGTAATGTGGAGAATTTAACCCAATGCTGAGCTAGTTTAAGACAGAATCCCATAAACTGTTTCATATTTGTCCACTCATCCCCCTGTGCACACTGATGAAGACTGGCTCCTGTTCCAGGAAGATCTGCATGTTAAAATTCTCATCCTAGTTTTCAAATCCGTCTCTGGTCATTCCCCCTCCCTGTCTCTGGAATGTCCTGTAGTCCCACTCCTTCCAGTTTCATGAGCGTGTTTGTGGCTGAGTGTTGACCTGATAAAAGAGTATAAAGTTACAAGAGGCATTGGTAGGTTGGATACAGTCTTTTACTGTATAAATAGGGACATAGGTTGAAGAGGAGGATCATTTAAAGCAAATGTGCGAGGAAAGTGTTTTACCAAGAGGGTAGTAAGTGCCTAGAATGTGCTGCCTGGGGAGGTGATAGAAGCAGATATGACAGCAATGTTTAAGAGGAATTTAGATGGACACACAAACAGGCAGGGAATAGATGGATACGAACCATGTACAGGCTGATTGGATGCATTTAGAATGATCAGCACAGAAGGGCCTATTTCTGTGCTGTGCTGTTCTATGTTCTATCTATCACTCTAGAGGACTGTGGTGATAGGGCTGGAGAGTGGGACCAGCTGGGTAGCTCTTTCACGAGCTGGTGCAGACACAATAGGTGGAATGGCCTCCTCCTGCACTGTAAAATTGTACAATTCTATAATTCAGGCCTTTTGAACATTTCCAATTTCAGTTGCTCCACCATTAACAGCCTGGCCTTCAACTACCTTGGCCTTAAACTGGGAATTTCCTCAGAAACCCTCTCTGCCCCTCCCATCTCTCCAGTATGGGCTTGATGGGCCAAATGGTGGCCCCCCAGTGTTTTAAGCCCTCCCTCCTTCACAAAGGTTTTGGTGACCTGTTCTAATGTCTCCTCATGTGGCTCGAAGTCCGATTGCATTTGATAATTGCTCCTGAGAAGTAACTTGAGATATTTCACTCCATGAAAGATGGTGTATAAATGGAGGTGGTTGTTGTAACAACAGGCAGTGTGTTGTGTGTTTGGATGCAGTCAGTTGTATTTTGGATCAGTGTGTAAGATGTGAATGACCCTGTGTTCCAGGTTTGAGGGGGGCAATGGCGTTTGCATTGGCCATTCGAGACACTGCGACCTATGCACGTCAAATGATGTTCAGTACCACTCTCCTCATTGTCTTCTTCACTGTCTGGGTCTTCGGTGGAGGAACAACACCAATGTTATCCTGGCTTCAAATCAGGTGAGATCTCCAACTTCAGCAAGCGATTCTGTAGCTCAGCAATGGTGGATAATGCCTCCAGAGCGGGAGGTGGAGCAGGAGAGGATAAATAATGTAGTGCAAGGTAAACACTTGAACACTCTCGCTGACTGACAACAGATATCAGGGAAGGTTTTTTACTGTTATCACTGATCACTTAGTCAGTGTGTGGCTCCCAATTACAATTGTATGACAGTTGTGCATCACAAGGTTTTATAATAATGTAAACTCCATGCTGCACTGAGAGCCAGGGATCAGCATGTCATAGTGTGATGATTCAACTCAGGAATGTACATAGTCATTTCCTGACCTCACTACAGGGTCAGAAGCGATGGACAGGATTCAGAACCACAAATATCTCTCACTACAGTTCAAACGTTCTCGAACTAACTAATTACCTAGAGTTCCTTTGCAAGGATTATAATTGGTTTAATGAGGCTGTTGGTTTGCTCGCCAAGCTGGCTGGTTATCATACAGATGTTTTGTCACTATGCTAGGTAACATCATCAGTGCGGCCTCTGCTTGGTATTTATATGATCCGATCTGTTAAGTTGGATTATGTCATTTCTGGTTCTGCTCTGCATGGGTTTGTATATGGGGCCTAATTCCACATGTCTGTTGATTGCATTACAGGTTGAAAACCAGGCCTCTAGGAATTCCCGTGTGTGTGGTTGGCTTGAGCTAGGATGGTCACATTGTCCCAGTTAAATTGATGGCCTTCATTGTCTGAGTGCACTGGGATGAGGGAAAATTTGTCATGTTATTTTGCTGCTAGCTGGTATTTGTGTATCCTAATGGCTAGTTTTCTTCCAGTCTGGCCAATTCTAATGTTTGTTGCAGTCATTTCAAGGTATTTTGTAAACACTTGGTCCTGCAGGTCATGGGTATGGGGTCTTTGGTCTTTGTGAGTGTTTGTTGAAGTATGGCTGTGTGTTTGTGTGCTACCATGATTCCTATTGGTTGTGGAAGTCTCATTGTCAGTTCTGATATGTTCTTGATATAGGGTAGTGTGGCCAGTGTGTTAGGGCGTACTGTGTCCTCTTGGTGTTGTCTATCTAGTAGGCACCTGTGGTTATTTGGTTTGGAGCAAAGAAGATTAAGAGATGATCTTTTGGGATGTTCAAAATGATAAACATCTTTGACAGAGTAAAGAAGGATATCCTGTTTCTACTAGTTGGTACATCAGTAACTGGGGATCACAATTTCAATATTGTCAACAAGACAACCAGGAGTGAGTTGAGGAGAAACTGCTTTACTCAGAGAGTTGTTAGGATTTGAAATGCGCTCCCTGGGAGAGTGACGGAAGCAAATTCCACAGGAGGTTTCAAAAGAGAGCTGGATATATATTTGGAAGGGATGAATTTAGAGGGCTACAGAGAAAGGGCTGGAGAGTGGGACTAGCTGGGTAGCTCGTTCAGGAGCCAGTACAGACACAATGCGTCGAATGGCCTTATTCTGTTGTAAAATTCCATGATTCTAAGTTGGGAGTTCTATGAGTTTATGACTTGAGGATGACAATATATTCAAACCTTTGAAACACAGCAACATAGAAAATAGGTGCAGGAGTAGAATCCCATTCACACCCTCCCCCCATACCCCTCGATCCCTTTAGCTGCAAGGGCCACGTCCAGCTCCCTCTTGAATATATCTAATGAACTGGCCTCAACAGCTTCCTGTGGGAGAGAATTCCACAGGTTCACAACCGAGTGAAGAAATTCTTCCCCATCTCAGTCCTGAATGACTTACCCCTTATTCTTACACTGTGACCGCTAGTTTTGGACTAGCCCAACATTAGGAACATTCTTCCTACATCTAGCCTGTCTAGTCCCATCAGGATTTTATGCGTTTCTCTGAGATCCTCATCATTCTAACTTCCAGCAAATGCATACCCAGTCGAACATGTCAGTCCAGCTGACCTGGGAGTCAGTCTGGTGAAGGTTTGCTGGACTCCCTCAATAGCAAGAATGTCCTTCCTCAGACCAAAACTGCACACAATATTCAAGGGTGTGGCATCATTAAGGCCCTGTATAACTGCAGCAAAACATCCTTACTCCGATATTCAAATCCTCTCGCTATGAAGGCCAGCATGCCATTAGCTTTCCTAACTGCCTGCTGCACCTCCATGCCAACTTTCAGTGACTGTTCCACCATGACACACAGGTCTCATTTGCACCTCACCTTCTCCTAAACTGCCACCATTCAGATAATAATCTGCCTTCCTGTTTTTGT